AAGTTTTTCTTCATTCAGTAAAGAGTAAGAAGTCTGATTCATCTATATCTGTTATCTAAGTGAGAAACAACGTCTTCTACGATCATAGACATTCTTTTTATACTCTTTCTTTGTAGTTTTTTTAGGGTAATTAATTTTTTGAGTTTATTATATAAGATGTTCTGTAAATTATTTAAGATTTGAAACACTTCCTGCCAAAATATTATAAAACTTCTATCATGAATTTAAGTATGATGATGTGCGAAGGGCTTGCAGTACTTTTTAAAGTAACGATACTGCAATTTTAAAATTGTAGCCCAATTAATACAAACAACTTAATAGAAATAGTTTTAAATAATGTACTGTATATTTATAAATACTGCAAAAACTAGTGTGTGCAATAAACTATATATACTTTACACTAGAACTACTTTTAGACTATAAACAGAGTAGGAAAGAATAGTCATCTTATAAAGATATATTATGATATAAAAGTGTTATCTCAAAAAATACTACACTCTTTAATATAACAGCATACTTAAATTTCGGCATCTTAGAAATATCAACATTTTTTAGCAAGGAGGATTTTAAATCTTATATTAAAAATAATTTATTTAATAATTAATCATCTGGACAAATTTACAAGGAAAAAGTATTAATATTAAAAATGATTGTAATCATCAAAGATTTTATTTCTTACTCACAAGTCAGATAATAGATAGAAATAAATCAGACTTGTTGTTTATCGAGGAACCTGAGACTTTCAGATTACAAGAGGCCTTTTGTAATTGTCTAGTACATCATTAAAATTAAACTTATTACGTTTGATATTTTATTAAGTTTAAGTTTATGAAAGTATGTATATAAATACTGATAATTATTAATATATATTTATATATACTGCATATTGTTCATGTATGTACTGAGACACTTGTGCAACCTGAAACACAAGTAACCTTAGGAGATCTCTTTGAAATGGGATGTGGTCTTTCGATCAAAAAAACTTCATCTCCTCTGAAAAACTTCATCTCCTATAGTCCAATATAGAAGTTTCTCAGAAAGATTATTTGTAAGTAATGAATTAAGAAAATGTAAAATATAGGATTTGCAATTAATAAACAATATCTAATATTTTCAATATTCCTCCTTCGTTTAAACTCACTTATCAAGAATATTGCTAAAATTATAATAGAATTTGGACAAAAATCATATTAAATTAATTTTATTGAAAAAACGGATTTCTACAAATCCCAAACTCTGTTTTACAACTGATATCGAAAGTCGAATTAATCCTAAATAATATAGATTTATAACCGAAATAAGATATTTCTTCTCAAAAATTGATTAAAAAAAATGTCTACAAGTTTTAGTTATATTCAGCTATAAAATGAAGTTTTATATATNATTAAAAAATAAAAGAATTTTTGTTTCTGGATTTTAGTGTTAAGAATTAAAATGATTAAAAACTTATAAAATAAAATGATATCTTTTCACTCTAAAATAATATCAGAAAGGTCAAATGTTTATGTGCTTTTTAAAGTTTTAACAACTATGCGAATTCTATTAATAGTATTTTAATAATATAAAATCCATAGATACGACACGTGTTCTGTTAAAGATTCTCTCTCTCTATTTAACTAAATTTAAAAATAATTTATTTTTTTAAAAAGAGATTATTTTGCTAGAAAATTTATAAATTTTACAGTAAAATAAAAGATGCAAAATTCATATTCTGTAAGACGTACTTTCAACATAATATCCAGGAAGAAAAAGTATTTAGTGTATTGAAACCATCCGTGCCTTTGGGACTCGGCATTAAAATATTTTACTGTATTCTAATTAAAAAAAATAAAATTAAAATGCATATTAATTTATCAAAGAAAACGAGGAAACTAAAAGAAGTCGTTTACCATTAAAATATCGTACTGTATACAAATATGCAAAAGTTGCTTTTGTTGTAGCAAAGTATAAATAATAATAACAATTATAATATGTTTAATTAAACAATAGCATTTTAATTTAAGAGTTGGGTTAAAGTAGACGTTACCTGTATCTTACTGAAGACCGTTTGGGGAATTCATTAGTCTATAGGAAATAGCATCTTCACATATAAAACTCAATGCGATTTTGAGCCTTTTTTTTGGATAAAATTTGCATCTTATATGCCGTAAAATACGTATATTTAGGCGGTATTCAAATAAAATTTAAATTAAATAACTCTACAGAAAATTGTACATATAAAATTCAAACTAAAATATAAATTATTTTCTTCATAAATATAAGAGAAATATATGATGTACCCGTGTAAATCTTATTTCACTGTCGCATTATTTACTAAACAAATAATTTATGTTCGCATATGAGAAAATTAAATTTCTTACAATGATATGTTTTAAAAAATAAATAAAATTTTGCTTAAATAAATGTTTGAAAATTAAATTGTAATTTCGATTAAAATTCCCCAATATTTTAGTTACTAATATTTAATCAATTTTGAATGAAAGATATTTGATAGGGAAGCTTTAAGCAAAATGAATCAAGTTTGCATCAGTTAAATCACCAAAATTTATTCACAAAACATGTGGAAATAACAAATTCACAAATTTTCCAAAGGGCGCACAGCATCAAATCTTTTCTAAATTTTCGTAAAGAACTTTGACAAATACGAATAAATTTTGAACTTTCGATCTTAAAAATCAATAATTTAGATTGACATTTTTGATGCGATGCTACATAAATCTATAAGAAAATTTTCCATGATGTAACTAATTTATATGAAAAGTTTCTTTAAGGAGAATGCTTCTTGGATATTAATTACACAGACCAAGAGAACACAACCATCGAAACAACAGAAACAAACATTAGAATGTAGAATTGAAATGAGAAACACTTCTAAGTTACATTTAAATCAAGACAACATGAATTAAACATAAACAGAAGCAAAGTAATTTATATTCACAGCTTTTCCAGTATTTACCAATCCGATAATCAAGTGTGTCCTTTGAAATGTTGGATTTGTAATTCTAAAGCATTAGAAAAAAAATTCTTAAAATCAACTTTCTTACCAGAATTTGACTTAGGGAAATTCAACTTTGACATTCCAAGACTAATGGTTCCTTAGTAGGCTATTGTGCTTTAGTCTCTCGTACAAAGACTAAGTATAAAATTGATGGACTTTAAAATCCTACACATAGTTCTTGAATGATATAGCTGGTGAAATTATCTTTCTCTTTCTTTTCCTCCTTTTTTTGTTTAAAAGAGGGAATGATTGTTTTCATTCTATTTTTGTTTATAATCTGTAGCTTCGAGTCGACTAAGGATTAGTGGAAAAGGAAGTTTCCCTATCAACCAATCCTCTGATAATAAGTTGAATTTTCGTTCAAGTCGCATGTTACAAACAGTAAAATGAAAACTGAGCTTTATTTAGAATTAAAAAGAAATTGTTTTTCCCTTTCCTGTGCTGTTATAAATTTTAACTTTGCTTAGAAGTAAATGGAATGTTCGTGTATACTTATTTCATGTTAACCCATATTAAAAATAATTTATTTTTTTAAAAAGAGATTATTTTGCTAGAAAATTTATAAATTTTACAGTAAAATAAAAGATGCAAAATTCATATTCTGTAAGACGTACTTTCAACATAATATCCAGGAAGAAAAAGTATTTAGTGTATTGAAACCATCCGTGCCTTTGGGACTCGGCATTAAAATATTTTACTGTATTCTAATTAAAAAAAATAAAATTAAAATGCATATTAATTTATCAAAGAAAACGAGGAAACTAAAAGAAGTCGTTTACCATTAAAATATCGTACTGTATACAAATATGCAAAAGTTGCTTTTGTTGTAGCAAAGTATAAATAATAATAACAATTATAATATGTTTAATTAAACAATAGCATTTTAATTTAAGAGTTGGGTTAAAGTAGACGTTACCTGTATCTTACTGAAGACCGTTTGGGGAATTCATTAGTCTATAGGAAATAGCATCTTCACATATAAAACTCAATNGAATTTTCGTTCAAGTCGCATGTTACAAACAGTAAAATGAAAACTGAGCTTTATTTAGAATTAAAAAGAAATTGTTTTTCCCTTTCCTGTGCTGTTATAAATTTTAACTTTGCTTAGAAGTAAATGGAATGTTCGTGTATACTTATTTCATGTTAACCCTTTAGGCTACCAAGTAAAATAATTCAGAATAAACTTCTTTTCAAGTTTCTTTCATAATATAATTTCTTTAAAATAAATATAAATTGCTTATAGAATTGTTAAATTGAAGAATTCTTCATAATATTATGCAATTAAGATTTATTAATTACAATAAAGTATTATAATAATTTTATTTTTTTTTTGCTGTTGACTGTTACAGTTTCTATCCTTGTAAACATCGTAAATCGAAAGACTAATTATAAAAAGGGGTTTTATTAAAGGTTAGAAACAGTTTTAAGAGCTCATTAGGAAAGTATGCGGAGTGAAGCTTATTTGGTTATTAGACAATGATATTATTTTTAGTTCCATATTAAAAAATAAAAGAATTTTTGAAATAAGAACATTCGGTTTGTAAATTTAAATTAAAAAATGTTATTCACAAAGCAAAAGAATGACTGGAAAATAATGTCAAGATATTGAAAAGTCGAAAATCATGGAAAAGCTTAACCTATTACTTAAAAAACTTCTTATATATTTCGGGGGGAAAAAAGAGAGAGAGATTGAAAGCTGTATATTGAAAAACAAAAACAGGAACTATTGAGCCTAGAAAAGTGATGGAAATATAGTAAGAATATATCACGGAAGTGCATATAAAGAAGTAGGGCAAAATAAAAATCCATATTATGAAGAACAGATGGTAAAATATGGAGTAAGACCAGATGTACCGAGACAAGAATAGTAGTAAATGTAAATTTAAGTATTAGAGAATAAATGAAGTGAATGATTAACATATGGGAAAAGGAAATTGATTTAAATTAAGAGTTTGATTATTAAACATAAATAATGTTGGCTACTGGTTGATCACAGACTTAATCAGTGGTACACTGAACTGGACAGTTTTATCATGGTCATAACTAGAGTTTGTAGTGCCCACCACCTGATATGTCGGTAGTAACTGCCTAAAAATAAAAAAAATATATGTAAAGAAAGTTATAGTCTATAAACTAAATGTGTTTACAATTCAAGACAACAATAATTTATCAAATTTTTATGAACTAATGACGAAAATGACGTCACTTGGCTTACCTGAGCCAGTATTTTCAATGGCGTGAAACCCACTGTTTTGCTGGTTTCCGCTCCTTAATATCTTTTCGCTGCTAGAAGTGATCATTTTGTATTGAGTGGCCGTACACTTGAGCCTCAATTCATCACTCCTAAAATGATAATGTTCTATTCTCATTTTTAGTCCCAAAACTGACATGTCGGGTTCATTGGGCTTTTTTCTGACAGGATATTTGATCACGTAGTCCGGTTGAGCCTGAACGAAAATATTAAAATTGAAAAAGGAAAGAATAATTTTGGAGAAAGAAAAAACTTGACTCACCTCGTAGTCATTAACGTACCACGTCAATTCGGCGGGATAAACTGTGCTGCAGTTTACGTCTACGATGTCACCCACATCGTACCATGGAAGGTTTCCCTTAATGTTTGGCCCGTGTTGACCCGGAGCGGTATGGGATACTGCGAATAATAATGTATTTGAGATGGAGATAATATGGTATAGATCATTAGATTAATAGAGTGTGTTTGGAAAGTAAGTGCAGTTGATGCAATAGACAGAGATGAATGGTTGATAATGTTGGAATGCGAAAATAAATGAAAGAAAAAGTAATGTTTTCAGAAGTAAACGAAGGATAATGGAGTGCTACAATTTAAGGAAAAATGAATAGTGGTGATATAGTCGATAAAAAGTTCAAATTATAGAGAGTAAATAGGTGTTAATGGATAAAGTAAAATATAAAATTTATATTTAAAATTATATTACAATTGATTTTAGAGAATTTTAAGCTTTGTATTATTGTACAGACACAATTATAACATATATTAAAAATATATGTTAGAATACATAAAAAGAAGAATCTAAAAAAAATGGTATATAAGATTAATTTATGTAGAGCAGATAGTTTGAAGCAAATGCAAGAGCAAAACTAGATTATTTTCCCATTAAAGCTAAAGCAATCAGCACAAATAAAGCACAGCGCCTGAAGTGAAGCTCATCCAGTGCAGATATTATAGACATTGTGTCTTTCATATCAAGCTCCGTTGTCGACCACGCCCTCTGTTCTCTCTTTTGATTGATTAAAGTTGTGGATCCGTCTTAGAGAAAGTCCGTGTCCTGACATGATTACGTAATGAGAAGGTGTAGTACTCTGTAACCTAAAGCCAGACTATGTTTTAATGTACGGTAGATTTTAATGAATATTACTTAGAAAATCTGAATTTTTATATTTAATTTCAACTTTTATTAACCTTCTTCAGTCTCTTTTGCAGAAATTTAAAGAAAAACTTCTCAAACTTCACATCTTCAAAAATGACTTTCTCTTTCTATTTTTACTTTTGTTTCGGGTATACAAAGATTGACAGAAATGAAGTTAGACAAAAATAACCATTCTTACAGCACTTTTTAGCTACGTAAATCAGCAAAGTAGTCAACAGAACTTGAAATAAAGAGACTACTTTCGAATTCAAAAATTCATGACCTACTCGAAAATGTCGAAAAAATGAAAAACTGAAGTTCCCATTCTAGAAAATAAATCCGGAAAAAGATGTCCTTTGTAGCATTTTTTATACTTTCTGCCATTTCATACAGAAAGATAGTGAAGGGGGAAGTAAAAGTTGGCAAGCTGCGTGGCGGAACATGATTAGAACTATTTTCATTCCAATTTTTATTCTTCTTTTATCAGATCAGTAAAATGTTATTTTCTCTTTTAGACCACCACGTTCTTTGATTAGAGAAGAGTTTTTGTGTTAACTCCCAACAGGAATTACTGCAAGAGGAAGTGCTGATTACATTCTTCTCGACTTTTTCGTATTCAGGCATTAATAGTGACTTCACATGAATTGTATCCATTGTTAAGCTGTCAGTAAAAGAAGTGTTAAATCACTTTGGATTTGGCCATAGTACTTGACTTTAATGTTCTTTCTTGTGTAATATCGAAGAGAAGCAAAGTGGTGATTGCTTTCGGTTTATTCGGATTATTTATTTCAATGTTTCAAAATCCTAGGAGATTAATCAGCGCTTGTTTAAGAGAACTTATCCCTCTTTTATTATGCACTTTGATAAAATCCAGTTTACTTATCCTGCTCTTGTATGAATGATTTAGCAAATTTACAAGGTCAATCTTCCTGCCTATCTTTTTAATATCACATTTATCGATAATAAAATAGAAAGATTTATCATTTTTTGATTAAATTAAAATATAAAAAAAATGGCAGCTTCTTAAATATTAAAAGAATATTTATCATTTAATTCAAGAGAAATAAGAAAAGGAGCGTTTAGTTAAGAAATTTTTTAAAAGTGAAATTTGTCTAAAATATGCCTCATTCAATAGAAAATATTAATTTTAAAACATTTTTATTAAATATCGTACTGTTACATACGAATTTAAGATTTTTATTTCCATTTTAATCATATGGAATTTCATAAAAACCATGAATAATTAATCAAGATCTTAGAAATTTTATATATAGCCTATATATAAAAAATAGAAATTGAAGTTATAATAAATAAGATATAATTAAAAATATTAAAAAAAAACAGCTACAGGAATTCGTAATAATAAAAATAAGAGATTTTTGGCGACTTATGAATTGATAATGTATAAGAGAATAAAAGAATTTTTGAAATAAGAACATTCGGTTTGTAAATTTAAATTAAAAAATGTTATTCACAAAGCAAAAGAATGACTGGAAAATAATGTCAAGATATTGAAAAGTCGAAAATCATGGAAAAGCTTAACCTATTACTTAAAAAACTTCTTATATATTTCGGGGGGAAAAAAGAGAGAGAGATTGAAAGCTGTATATTGAAAAACAAAAACAGGAACTATTGAGCCTAGAAAAGTGATGGAAATATAGTAAGAATATATCACGGAAGTGCATATAAAGAAGTAGGGCAAAATAAAAATCCATATTATGAAGAACAGATGGTAAAATATGGAGTAAGACCAGATGTACCGAGACAAGAATAGTAGTAAATGTAAATTTAAGTATTAGAGAATAAATGAAGTGAATGATTAACATATGGGAAAAGGAAATTGATTTAAATTAAGAGTTTGATTATTAAACATAAATAATGTTAGGTTGTAGCTAAAAATTTCTTTGAAAAATATAATATTTCTAATAAAATTAATAAAAGAAATTATAAAAACTTCTACACAGAAAAAATTAATTATTGATAATTTTAGTAATTACTAGAAATTTTCAAAAGTAATTAAGAAAAATTAGAATAAGCTGAGTGAAGATGTCGAAAGAAATTTTAGAAAAAGAAGTATATAGAATTTCCTTAAACATTTTAAGGGAAATGTTAAAATATAGGCTATATATAACAGATAATGCTTTGTTTACAATTTTAGAATAATTTGAAGTTCGAAACTAATATTATTTTCTTTAAAATAATATTATAATAATATATTAAATGGGAGAAACGAATTTAATTTATAGATACGGCAATATTTTTAAAATATAACAAGAATTTATATTAGGAGAAAGGTAGAGAGTCAAAAATTCTATTCAAATTGAATCTTCATTTCTTTTCTACGAATATGATGTAAACTAAAAATAATTTTTAAGAAATAAATTTATGTTTAATTAGTTTAAAAGTTCTTAATAAAAACATAATATGATTGATCTATTCAATATTATATTTGATAAAAAAGAATGAGATTTATTTTACATTGAAAAAAAAATTCCAATAATTAAGAAATTAAGATCAGAAGAAAATACATCGCAACGAATTGAAAATTACCATTAATTGAATTGAAATATATATAATTTACAATCGAAAACTTCAAAAATGTTACTCTTTTAGGCGTGAAAGATAAATTATAATTCATTCGATTACAAATTAAGCGAACGACTCAGCAAATACAATAAAAATAATCCAATGATAAATATGTTAAAAGGCCGTAACAAATAGTTTTATTATAGGAAAATTATTTATTTAACATTTCAATTGCACAATATGAATTCACTTCGTTAATGTCAATAGCGTAGAAACCGAATTCAACAGAATATGATTTATTTCTCACCATTGGATTTTATTCGAGTAAGACTCATTCATGCGTTACTTTTCTGAAGGCTGCGATATACTTTGATAACATTTTTTTTTTGGTAAAAATTTAAATTATAGTACAGAAAAACCTGAGTAAACCGGAACAACATGGCACCGAATAT